AGAAGAAACATAGAACAAGGTGACATGTATGGACTGAAAGGAAGTTTTTAATATTTTAGATTGGGTGTCTAGAAAAGGACTCATCAAGAAGGTGAAAATTTGAGAAAACAACTAAACAAAATGAAGAACCCCACAAATGAGAAATTTATATCAAAATATTCAAGACAAAGGCCCTGTGGCAGGAACATGCTTGGGTTCCTCCAGGAATTTTAGAGGCCACTATTTCTATTTTAGTGTGAGCTAGAAGGAATATGATACACTGAGTCATTGGTAAAATGCTTATTTTGTCTAGTCCCTGGAAGGTCTAATTATGTGAGGTGTGTGTGTGTGTGTGTGTGTTGTGTGTGTGTGTCAGAGACAGAGAAAGAGAGAGAGAGAGAGAGAGAGAGAGAGAGAGAGAGAGATTCTGTTTAGATGTTCTGTTATTGCAGCTAAAATCCTAAAACTCTAAATCCAACCCCAAATGCAAATTTCACTCATATGGAATACTAATTTGAGCTTACTTCTTTCAGCGTGAGCTTGCATAAGTCACGCTTGTTGAAAATAATTTTTTTTTTTTAAATTAACTAGAGGATGGAAATAGAAGAGAGAAAGAAAACAGATGGCAACGTTAAACTATAGGAGTTTTAAGTTTTTTCTGTTGACTCCCCTATGAAGACTTAGAAAGTTAAGATAAAACATAAACTTCATTCTTATATCCACAGCCCTGAACCAGTTGTAGAAAAAGGGAACCAAAAGGGTTGTGTATAAAGCTCTCATGGTGTTTCCTTTGATGGTACAAAGCAGTAATCAACAATTTTAAGTCATAACACCAGGCACTTATAAAATATTTGGATAGATGTAAATCAGAAATTGTGGCTCTAACTATGCATATTAGCTATTAAAATTAAATTAAATCCTGAATCACTGCTAAGGCAATATAAATATTTCTTAAATACATAGTGTATGGTTGTTGTTTTTTTTTTTTTTTTACTTTATATGTATAATATCAATTATAGTCTTTATCTTAGTGGCTATCACTTATTCATTTATATAAACATAAAAATTACAGTAAGAACCTTTTCCTCTTTTTGCCATGAGCTCTTAATTTCTTCAATGATTTATTCTTATCTGATGGTTATTAGAAATCTGACTCTCATTTGGAAAGTGACAACTGTTTTATCAAGGTTACCATTAATATTATTAATGTTGAAAATGCAGTTGACATTGTGAGTGTTGATTAGATATTCCTCATTCCAGTTTCAATGAGAAAATTCAGCATCCTTCTGGTACATTCATTATCAATAAAATGAAATAAAAATAGAGAAATTTAACCATAATAAAATCATGGCTTAGAATTAATAAGGTTCTGATCTTCAGGGTTTTTATTTTAACCCCTCATGTTGTCCAGCCGGTTACATTTAATAAAAACTCTTAATCTTAACGTCATTATGGAATATGTTTTATTTTTCATATTACTTCAATTAAATGTATATTCAAAAATATTTTTATTATAATTTTAGTCTAATTTTATTACCAGGTGCAAACAATTGTCAAATGGTTGATTTATTTTATTTTAGCCTAAATTATACATATCTGTATAACACAAATATTATCCAGGTCCCAGTGGCCATCACAACTCTGATTAACCCTGGAGTTAAATTAGCTCCAACTTGAACTCAGAGCCTCTCTGTCATTTCCAAAGCCATTCTATCCCATGATACTCTTTGGTTCCCCGCTTCTTTGTTCCTGTGTATATTAATTTGTCCCCAGACTACATAGGTCACAGGTTTTATATACTACATTGTTTCCATAAAGTCATTTCAAATATACTAGATAGATTTTATGTTAATTAAAAATTACAAAGTCCTGAATGATTATGGGGATGGATATCAGTTTGTGCTATGTGTATTTTGAAGCTCTGCTATTAAATGTATAATTTCATTTGATAAGTTGACCCAATTATGTTAATGAAATAAAGTCCTTCCTCTTTTTTATTTCCTTATATTGAAGTCTACCTTATTAATAAAGCTACATCAGTATTTATTTTACTTAATTGTTATGCGATATATCTTTTCTATTACTTTACTTTCATATGTCTCTATCTTTTTGTATAAAATGAGACTCTTGTAAATATTTGATCAAATCTTGCTTTAGGTGCTATTAACAAACTCTGTCTTTTGAATGAAGTATGTAACCAATTTATATTTACTGTGATCTTGGACATAGTTGGATTTAAGTACATCATATTATAATTTGCTTGTTTTATGCTTTTATGCTCTGTCTTTCTCTGAATGTAAATGTATTTGTTTTCTCTAAATAGGAGAATGAATGAATAGTTTATATCATTAAATATTAGTTTTAAATTAATTATGAATTCTAAAATATTATGGCTCATCAAATAGTCTATTTAAAATTAGTTGACATATTCAAAAGTTAGTAAGGCAAACATCAAATTAGAAAAGCAACTATTAGTTACAGAATTCCAAAAAATATTATAACCTAAACAATTTACAATATATTTTGCATGCTAAAATAATTTGTACATATATTTTCTTTTCTTTACTATATTATATTAAACTTAAGTATTATAAAGAATAATGTCAATTTCTGTCATTCATAGCCATTATATAATTTAAACAATATATTTGAAAATTTACATTAAATAACATATAAATCATTTCATTTTTTAAATTAATTTATTTATTTTTGTTACAGATGTTTCTCCTTTTTCCCTCAATGATTCTACCCTTCCTCTCCCTCGCTTTCCTATCCTCAGCTTTGTTGTCCATGTCCATTGTTCATGCATACATGCATATAAGTTCTGTGGTTTATCTCTCCCCCACCATACCCTCCCCTGGGGATTGTCAGTCTGTACCCCACTTCCATGTCTCTGGGACTACCCCATTCCTCAGACTGTTATGTTCATTATATTCCACAAATAAGTGAGATCATATGATACTTGTCTTTCTCTGTTTGGCTTGTTTTGCTTAGGATAATGCTTTCCAGGTTCCTCCATGTCGTCTCAAAGGATAAGAGATCTTTCTTTCTTACAGCTGCATAGTACTCCATTGTGTATATGTACCACTGCTTTTTGATCCATTCGTTTACTGATGGACACTTGGACTGTTTCCAGAGCTCAATACAGCCTAAACTAGGATTATTAATAAATAGGAAAAATAATGTTCTTGAAAAGTTATTGCAATGTTAAAAACATTTAGTAATGTACATTATCATCAACTAAATTTTAACCCATGAGAAGGCTTACCCTAACCCTAACCCTTTCTTGCTAATATTTTATCTAATGGGAATCAATAAACTTAAAGTAGATTACAAATAAGAAAAGTCTGCAAGGTGATGAATAGTCTAGTCAAATTTCTTAAAAAAATAAATTCAAATTGGATATCGAGTCAATAACATGTAGATAATTGTTGAGGCATTAGATTGAGCTCTTCCAGGAAAAAGTGCCAATAGAGGAAGAAAAACTTAAAAATAACATCAGAGATCAATATTCAGAGACCTTCCTGAAACAGAACAGGAACCAAAAACAAAAACATAAACAAGATAATACGAAATAATTTTAAACGAAACTAAAAGAGACATTTCAATTAGACAATTTCATACTAAGAAAACGATAGATAAATTTTAAAGAAAGAAATAAATGGTGGTATATACTTTATATTGAAAATAGATATGTATAATCCTTGACAGTAGATGTCCTGGAGTCGCACAGAATAGGTTTAAATCTAGCTTCACCTATCACTGTTGACATTTGTAAACTCGAGGAAATATTTCAAAAGCTCAGTAGACATCTTATTTTTATATAAAATGGAATGGGATTTATGAGTAGATCAAACAAGGTCATAATAATAACTTATAATGCCAAAGGTAATATAGCTGCAAAAAATGTTATATTTTTATCCTATATATTCTTATATAGAAATAATCTTATATCTTAGTATATGTTTGCAAGAAATACATGTATAAATTTGTTCATGGTCCATTTCATAAGTTGACTTTTAATTATTTTTAAAAATATTTTATTAAAATATTTTATACTACAGAAAAGGAGAGAAAAAATAAAATAAACAGCTTAATATTATCATCCTTATTTGCCAAAAATCCATTCTTTTAAAAAGAGAAAAAAAAATATTACAGGTACATTGTAAGTCCCATCTGTACTTTCCCAATTTGACCCTCCCACCTGTCTCCCTGTAGGCAGTCCTAGTAAATCTAGTGTGTATGAATAATTCTCATGTACATGTTTACTTTGCTATAAATTTATGCGACCACAAAAATGTGAATTTGTGTTTTAAAACATAAACTATTATCACACTGTACACATATAATTTTAATGCTATTTTAAAATTCAACATTATGTTTTAATGTTTAGAATTATTAATACATGTAACTATAATTTACTTATTTTAACATTTTTTATAATTCCATGGTACGATAATGCCATGGTAAATTCATCCATTCTCCTACCCTAGGCTTTAGTTAGTTTCAGATTTGGAATGAAAATTCTATATGTCTTATTCTGTACAAACCTGATAATTTCTCCAATAGACATACCTAAAAATAGAATTGCTGAGTTATAGGATATGCCTTAGTGTGTATAGTCCACACACTGTATTTGTAAAATGATTTAAAAAATTATCCAGTAAAAAGGCATATTTTTTATACCCCGACTAACAACTACTGGACTAATTTTATTCCCCATGTAGTTTAAGAGCTTAAGGCACTAGGAACTGTGGTCTTATATAGAGAGATATATCACCAGTACTCAATTATACTCTTATTTTATAATAAAAATACTGCCTAGAACACTTTTTAATGCCCTCCCAACATAATTCTAATAAGTTCAGAATCTCTGTTCCTAAATTATATATAATAAATTCAAATATCCATATAAGGATGTATTTCCCTGGCTTAGATTGATAAAAGCATTCGAAGTAGAGTGCCCGAAGCTATTGTGTGTTGACGTGCTAAATTACTTTGCCATGTATTAAATTACTTACTCTGAATCTTCCAATTATATTGAAACACCATTCTTCATTCCGACAGTTGATGCTGAGCAGTCTACAGTGGTCAATTACTTTCTCACAGTTTCTTCCAGTAAATCTTGGCATACAACTGTAAATACATCAGTATAAATAAGAAAAGTTGCCAATTAAATATTTTCACTAAATTCTACTAACAGATGGCCAAAAATAACAATGCTTTGTTTAAATTACATTCAACATATATTATTACATGGTATTTTCATCATTAATTTTGCCTGTGCATGCTTGTGTCCTTAACAAAGAAGAAAAGAGTTATATATTTAAAGGGGTTAAAGTAAACTACATTTTCATTGATGGTCTTCATATTGCCTTTGAGAATTTAAGAGTAAATCAACTTTGGTCTAACTAGATATTAACAATAAAATATAGGTTATAGAAAACTACTGGAATATTGAGACCATTATTGAAATATTTTTAAAAGATGACAAATGTGATTTTTAATCTTTAGTAGAGCTATTAGATACTGATGATGTAGTATCTGCAGTTGATGACACACATACATTTTAGACATAGTGTAATGAGTTACAGTGGAAAATAATAGCATGATCATATTTGACCTACTATTTTTAAAAATATATTTCTATTGATTTTTCGAGAGGAAAGTAGAAGGAAAAAGAGATAGAAACATTAATGTGAGAGAGAACTATCTATTGGCTGCCTCCTGCATGTCCCCTACCAGGAATCAAGCCAGCAATCCAGGCATGTGCCCTGACTGGGAATAGAACTGGTGACCTCTTGGTGTATGGGTCAACTCAGCCAGTGAGCCACACCAGCCTAGCTTGAACTAATTTTTTAATAAAGCACTCTTATAGTGTAAGTGCATGACAATATGTTTTTTGTGTTTGTTTGTTTGTTTTGTTAATTCTCACCAGAGGATATTTTTTCCATTGTTTTTTAGAAAGGGAGGGGGAGAGAGAGAGAAACATGATGTGAAAGAGACACATTAATTGGTTGCCTGCTGCAAGACCCCGACCAGGCCCAGGATGAAACTTGCAATCCCGGTACTGCCCTTGTGGGGAAATCAAACCTGAGATCATTAGGTCCTCAGCCTACAATCAAACTGTAGAGCCAAATAGGCCAGGGCAGGTTTTTTTTTTTATTATTATAATGTACATGCCTAGCATTAAGCTTTTGATTGTTGAGGCATCCATTTCAAAGACATCCATTTTGATTAAAGCACTTATTGGCAGCTATATGACAGCTACTAACTACACAAATAGGTAAGCAGCCAGGCTTCTCCTACCCATGAAGTTTCCCTTTTAGAAAGTCATGGATAACCCAGATAACAAACCACTTGAGTGACTCAGCAATCCTCTTCCTATTCCTTAATTTGATTCTGTTGTAAACTCACTACTAAAAAGTAAAATTTTTAAACTCTATGTACATTACCCTCAACTCCAATAACAGCAGAACCCAGGTTTGTCTGTCGTATATATATATAACTTTGCTGTCTGGCCCTTGAAGTTGCTATTTATTCTCCAGGACCTGTAAGTAATAAGCTTTGCATTTTCAAGTTCCCTTATGGTTCCTGGCTGTGCATCTCACAACTATAAGAACCCCAAAGGCTAGTCCAGCCACAACACTGGCTCCAGCTGGAGCAATGTCTCTGGAGATTCACCACAAGCAGCGGGACCCCAGTGACTGCCCCAGGCATTCTTAGTCTGACAGACAAGGAACCAATATGGATTCCAGTTCAAAAGTTGCTAGAAAAACACATACTGGTGTGTTCTGGCTTCCTTTGCCCTCACTCTTATTAATTTATGAAAAATATTCCTATACTTGAAATCACATTTAGTAAACCAAATGGGGTACTAAGTTAAATGACAGTGTGTCTCTCTAAAGTAAACACGAAAACATTAAGACCAAATATCATACTACTGAAAACCATGTTGTTACAAGCTGACTTAATAATGAAATGAATTGTACAATATGTTCATTATTGTACATTTGTTATAAGAACAAAGCCTAATGTCATAAAAGAAGAAACCAAAGGCTGTGTTAACACAGTTCAACTAAAATAGCACCAGCAAAACATTTTCGTAAATTACCTTTCCTGCTGTTCCAGGCACACCTTTGAAATTTTATCTCATAGAATTGAATCAAGCCTTCTTTTATTAGCAATAAGAACCATCCATTTTTTTCAGCATCTACTATATGACAGCCACTAGACTAATTACTTTTACACAATTTATTATTTTCTCATTCAGTGCTTATAAACCATATTATTACCACTATGTTATAAATGGAGGAACATACTCTGAGAAGTTAAGTTTGTTCCTTTGGTCATATCACTAGTTTTAGAGCTATTATTAAAATTAAGGGCAGTCCAACTTTAAGTATAATGTATTTTGTTATTCCACTAATGACACCTGTTAAGATATGTCTACCTAACTTCTTTCATTCTGAAGACCTAACCAATGATCCAGAAATCAGTCCAAATACCACAGATCAAAATTTTTTTTCCTTTTTTTTTTCTAGGACATAATGTATAGTACCCAATACTTATATTTTAACTGAACACTTAGTGCAAAATCACACTGACCACAATTCACACTAAGAGAATAATATTGTAATTATTAAGGCCAGAGTTATTCATATAAAGATCATGAGATAAATATTTTTCTGGAATGTACAATTAGGAAATCAAGAAAGAGAACACAGATAAACAAAAATAAAAATGCAACCAGGAATATGAGAAAAAATAGAAGCTGGATTAAAAAGCTAATGTCAAGATATAAATAGCCAAAATTGAATAAATAGAAAAACAGCTGAATAAAACAAAATACTTGGTGGAAACTAACTCTAAAAGATGCTTGGCTTATTTATTTATATTCATGAAAAATTCCAATTTTTATGAAAGAGATTATTTTTGTGCCATACAAGTATTGATCCTAAGAAAATTTACTCTACTTACCTATTAATTATTTTAAAATCATGAGAATTTTGATGCAAAGGCCTCAAAAATTACAACAAAAATATCTATAGCCAAACTCATATTTAAAAATACAAACAATGTTTTATCCATTGACACAAAATTCTATTTCCAGTAATTTTTCCTGAAAAATAATCAGACGTAATAAATATAGATGTATATCAATATTTACCCCATGATATTACAAAAGAAGTATACACACAAAGACATCTCCTGATATAAGAGGTCATCCAGTTCTAGTCTATCATCACCCCGTCCATACTACCAAGAATCCAAGAACACTATAAACAAGCAGCCAATTCCTATCAATTGTCCATTTTTCTTTAGATGCCCTGGTCATCAAAAGGGACTATAGTCATGAATTTGATTCTCATTGTGTTTTTAAGAATTTACTTTATATAACTAATTTAGTTTTTGTTTTGTTTTTTCCTACAAAGAGTGTGGATTTTATCCTATTCCATTGAAATAAGGAGCGTGCTGTTCTTAGGCAACTCCAAGCAGCTCTATATGACTAGAGTTCAAAGCAAATGACAAGAGTAGCAAGAAATAAAAAGAAAGAGCCGAGAAAGGAATTTGTAAAATATACCAATTTTCAAGATAATCCAAAACCTAGGTGTAAAATTCAGGGGACTGGAAGTGGGGAAGGTGAATTAAAAAACAAACAAACAACAGAACAAGTATGGAAAATGAGAGAGGCCCATATGAATCAATAATGATGCGCTAGCAAACTGAAGATGACGATGAACTTGAATATAACTAAAGTTCAAAAAGAGAGTGAGTGAGGAGGAGGGACACAGGTGTCAGCTTGTCAGATTAACAGTTGGATCAGAAACTAAAACCAAGTTAAGCCTCCTCTGCTTACCTTTAAAACTGCTGTCTCCTTCAGTGATCTGCCAAACCCTGGTAAATCTGGGATCTCCCAAACCTGTAGTGTTACTCATGCTTCTACCTCTCCTTGCACTGGGATAATTTTGTTAGTTCAAATTCTTCAGGTACTCAGCTGCAGCACTAAGCTTTGTGCTGGCTCTGCTGAGACAGCTACCAGTCTGCCTAGAACATTATGCACATTTTACTGCCTCACATCTTCACATTTCTATTCCAACCATGCCTTTCTCCTGCTCATGACAATTCTGCAGTCAGCCCAAGCTGCTTCTCAGCCTTTCATTGTCCACAGCTTTGCTGACTTTATTGACAACATCTGTTACTCAAACTTCTCCCATAAGGTAACCACAGAACTGCTCTAGCACCTTGGAGATCTGTGAATCTGGAAGATTCCCGCAGCAGAGGGCTACCTGTTTAGGTCCTTTTGGTGCATGTGTAGTTCTTCACAATCAGGAGCTCAGTAGAGGAATTCAGGTAATGGTGCTCATTCCCACCTTTCATATGAGTTCTCCTCCTTGGACAGAGATTTAGGTTTCACAGACGCTTTCCTCTTTTCCTCCCTCCTCCCTCCCTCCCTCCCTCCCTCCCTCCCTCCCTCCCTCCCTCCCTCCCTCCCTCCCTCCCTCCCTTCCTTCCTTCCTTCCTTCCTTCCTTCCTTCCTTCCTTCCTTCCTTCCTCTTTCTCCCTCTTGCCTTTCTTCCTTCCCACCTTCTCACCTTTCTTCATACATATTCCAGTTCCACATGTATTCTATTACATGCATGAATACATGTAGACACGCCTTTAACAGAATCTATTATGTCCTACTGAAATCCATAAGTGCATATTCATGCTTCAGCAATCAAGCGTTTTCATCTCATGCCACACATAAACATTACTAAATACTGCAGCACACGGAAAAAAAACCAAACATATTTTTTGCCCATCTGACAAAAAATAGGTATAATTTTTATTCATTCACACCAGACAGCTATTGTTGTGTTGGCTGCTGTAAATTTTTTATTATTATTATTTGATAATCTAAAGAGAATGAGATCAGTGCCCCGGACTAAATAGTTAAGTATTGCATGTTTTAAATTTTTCTGCAGCACTCCAGTGTGCCTACTACGACACACTGGTTGAAAATCATTGGCATACTTAACTCCAATTTTGCTTAATTTCATATCAACTACGTGCCTCTGCTCCAGCATCCTCAGTATATACGACATGTGCACTGTCTGGATTGCATTTGGGTTTGATCCTGAAGTGTGATGAAA